GATACTATTTGTAAAAGTAAGTTAGGCGTAAATAGGAAAAAGAAAATATATATATATATATATATATATATATATACGAAACAAAAATAAAGATGGAAAAATGGAAAACAGAGTAACACGGATTCAGAAAATAAATACAAACACACACACACATACATAAATATATGTATATAAACGATAGGAATTAAAATTGTCGTAGATAAGCAAAACGACCTGTAATTTAGACAGATTTTAGACTATGTTATTGGTTCTACTTGATAATTTTTAGCGCACGTGATTCTAAGTTTATCCACAGTTCTCCTGTATGTTGCGCGGTGCACATGAAAAACTGTTTTGTTGTTTTCCTGCGTCGGAACACTACTTCAATTTTAGAATAGTCCTTATCGAATGTACAGCTTTTGGGCAAGGTTTGTAGCCGAAATATCGAGCCCGTAGTTGTAATAAAAGTAATATAAAAACATTTGTTTGTTTGTTTGTAGTTAAACACAAAGCTACACAATGGGCTATCTGTGCTCTGCCCACCACGGCTATCGAAACCTGGTCTCTAGAGTTGTAAGTCTGCATACATACCGCTGTGCCACTGGGATACATAAGAAATATAAAAACAGAAAACAACCCTCAGTGGCTCAGCCGTGACCTTGAATATTTATCACGTTAAAATTCGTGACTTGATCCCTGAAGTGGGCATAAAACATTAAGTAGGTTTATTCGAAAACAAACAGACAATAAAAAAGTTAAGATAACTCGCCATATTGGTTTTGGTTAAACCACAACACTTCACTACGCAAACACTTACTGGTGATTCAAAATATAATTCTAACTGTACAGCAAACCTTCCCTTTCATCATACAAACACTGTATTATGTGATTATCAATAAGAAAAATTCGTAGTGTTAGATAATTCTTGAAAATTATGTACGTCACCAACACATACATAACGAGTAATGATACTTTGAAGATATGTATTCAAAAACAAAATATACGACATATATTTGGGTTCACTACGGAAAAATACTAGCACTGTAGCAGCAGAAACTAAAACAAGTTCTTTAGATAAATTTGGGAGCATTTAGGGGTTTAAGTCTGTTTCCTAGCCTGTTATTGTTCTATTCTAAACTTTCAAAAAAGATTATAAGCTGCAGCTTTAAGAATTGTTGTTCAAAGGATCTGTAGCATTAAATAACACGGAAATTTATAACTAAAGACATTTATACATTATATATATATATATATATATATATATCATTATGTGTGTGTGTATATATATATATATAAACAAAGAACAGTGGGCACGAATTTTCTTGTTAGGTGTACCTCCAGAAACAACAGTTGAAAATTGTACTTAAACAAAGCTATTAGAGCAAAGAAGATACCTTCTCTAACCCTAAAAAGACAAAAAGCTGGTAAGTACTTACGTTTCAAAGGTTTGGGGTTAGCCTGCTTACGGCGAGACATGGATGTTGGAATAGCTGGTCTTCTAAACGAGAATATGAATAACTAGTACTACACAACGTTGTTTTAACTCACACTGCTGCAACTCTTTTACTGGTACCGCCTCCCGCTTAGGCACAGTCTCAGCGCATGCGCCGTTATATCAGAATATAAGGTTACCATCTATTGCAATGACATGATACAATAGCTACATAAGCACTAATCTATTGACAGATAAAAGCAAAGAGAACTCAAAGAAAGTCATTAAGTTGTTTAAGAAACATTTGAGAAAAAAAGAAAAAATATATTTTATGTTATGGCATAACTAATTTTCAGGGTATAGTGACAGGAAGAAATTAATTTGAATCTTAGTAATGGCGAAATATTAATTCTTCCTTCTGTGTGGTCTATAGAATCTTTTTCTAAACCTAAACCTTTGAGGTTTTCGTGTTCAATTATTTCTCTTCATTCAGGATTTACAGTATTTTCTACGGACGTATCTGCTCTCAAAACCAGGACTTTTTAAGATTGAATTACGTTCTGGATTACAAACTAACACAGAAGGTTTTAGGTGACTAACAGTGGCGGAGGGATCCTGCTCCTCCTTTTGGCAACAATAAAACAAATTTATGTGCAAATATTCATTTTATGCATTTGCAAATCTCATCATGCCAATCTTTGGTTTGTGTTCACTTAGTAATCTATTTCCTTCAGTCGTATGCAAACGCATGCAGAACGGAGAGGAGGATAGGCTATTGGGAAGTCAATATAACACCCCTCCCCCGCCCATAAGCGCTCGCTTGCTCGCGGGTCCCTTCGCGTACTGTTTTGCCCCCACCCCCTTTCGATCAATTCTAGATCCGCTACTGGGTAACCAATATAAAAATGATTTAAACTTTTATCAGTTGTACTAAAAAACCATGATTGCAGCTTTTAAAATCGAAATTATACTTTGCCTCCATACTACAGCAACAATAGTCTGTGAAACTATATATTACATATACATACGGTTTAAATAATACTACAGCAACAATAGTCTGTGAAACTATATATTACATATACATACGGTTTAAATAATACTACAGCAACAATAATCTGTGAAACTATATATTACATATACATACGGTTTAAATATTATAAAAAATAGAAATATCTTTTATCGATTCTGAAGACAAATTACTGAAATTAGCAATGAGTTTCACAACCGTGAAAATATTTAAAATCGTTACTGTATATAAAAAAAAGCGTTGACGAGCGTTTGAACCACACAATATGAACTTTCACTGACTGATTTTAACCTCTTTTTTTATTTATAACGCTATCAGTTGTTTAGTGTTTTTAGTTTTTTATTTTAAAACATCCACGTTATTCGATTAGCTTCCATCTCTTTCATCGTTGTTTATTCAATAGAACTCAAGCTGATAATAACTCATTTTGACGATTTCAAAAACTACGATTTTAAGAAGTCTTTGTTCGTACTCCATTGTCGTATCCTGAATAGTAAAAAATGTACCCGTATCTAAGATAATTTTTTTCGTGTAGTATAAATTTATATTATAATGATAGCAATAGCAAACCACACGTGTATATAAATGTTTCAAGAACTGGTTCGCTCACAATAAAAGTAACAGTACAGTTTCAAGGATTTTTGATGCATATCAAAACATTTAACTTTATATAAAAAATAATTAATTTGCTTCACACAGATTAATTTCGGCTCATAGCTTCATGTGGTGATCCATACGTCTAGTATTTTTACTTTTGTTATTATGAATAATTGAAATTATTAATGAATGAAAATTATCAGCAGCTACTAAGCATAATATAACAAGATTAACACATCCCAAGATTCTTTTTTTATAATTTCCAATGAATTACCACATATATACCTTATTAAGTTATTATTAAGTTACCAAATAAAACCCCATCTCTCTGACGTAAAATGCCATTAAGTATTATTGACTTAATAACTAAAAAAGATGCAGAACTTAAAAGGAGAAATAAAAATGCTGGGGTAAGAAAAAAGAAAGAGAGCTGGTAATAACAATGCAGAGGTAACAAATCCATAAACACAAGAGAGAAAAGGGTCGGTATAATAAGATATACAAATGAAAAGTAACAGTGTTGATGAAATTTGTTTGTTTGTTTGAATTTACGCACAAAGCTACAGAATGGGCTATCTGTGCTCTTCCCACCAGGGGTATCGAAACCGGGTTTCTAGCGTTGTAAGTACGCAAACATACCGCTGTGGCACTGGGGGGGCTGGTGATGAAATACGTACAGAGTTGATCTAGCAAGCTCTTGAACAGAGTAGGATTGATTGTTGTTGAATTTCGCCCATAGCTACTTGAGAATTATATGAGTTAACGTCCCTAATTTTCAAGTGACAGGCTAGAATGAAAGTAGCTAGTTAACACCATTCACCGTTAGCTTGTGGATTATTCTAATCGAATATTGAAATTTGGCCGTCGTTTTTTTTTCTTTTCTTTTCTTTTGCAGGGCATGAACTACAAAACTTTAGGTTTACAGTCCGGCACGGTAAAAACAGACCCATGATCTGTCCACAGAATAGGAAAAAATCCTGCTGTAACAAGCGCTTGGAAAGAAAAAGGAACAATGCTGATGTAAGTAAATCCTTGAACTGAGGACGAACCGGTGCTTGAACAAAGAACGAATAATACTGATGTAAGAGCTATTTGAATATGGAAGAAATAATAAAGAATGCTACTTTAACAAATGTTTGAACTAAGAAACTTAAAGACAATATTGATGCAGCGAGTGTTTGGAAAACGAAGAAACAATGCTCACTTAACAAAAGCTTGGTGCAATGTTGACGTTAGAAGTGCTTTAACATAGAAAGAACAATATTGAAAAACAAACAAGTTTGAATAAAAAAGAACAATGCTGATGTAACAAATGTTTAACATAGAAGAAACAATGTTGAATTAACAAATGCTTGAACAGAGAATGAACACTTCTGAAGAAACAAATACATGAACAGAGAAGGAATGATGCAATGAAAAGAGAATGAACATTTCTGAAGTAACAAATACATGAACAGAGAAGAAATGATGGAAATGTAAGAAGTATTTGTATAAGGAAGATACACTGTTGCTATCACAAGTATCTCATCAGATGGAGAACAATTCTTAATGTTTCCCCTCTCATCTTTTTCTGAAGAAAATGATAGTTTATTCAGCTACTAATTCATAACATACATCTTCTGAGGCTATGCATGAAAAAATGCCTGCAGTCTTAGCCTTAGCTCTATTGGCCCTAAATGTCTCATGTTCTCCAATAGTTATCAAGAGAAACTCGCCTTAGCTGTATTGGCCCTAAATGTCTCATGTTCTCCAGTTGTTATCAAGAGAAACTCGCCTTAGCTCTATTGGCCCTAAATGTCTCACATTCTCCAGTTGTTATCAAGAGAAACTCGCCTTAGCTCTATTGGCCCTAAATGTCTCACATTCTCCAGTTGTTATCAAGAGAAACTCGTCTTAGCTCTATTGGCCCTAAATGTCTCACAGTCTCCAGTAGTTATCAAGAGAAACTCGCCTTAGCTCTATTGGCCCTAAATGTCTCACATTCTCCAGTTGTTATCAAGAGAAGCTCGCCTTAGCTCTATTGGCCCTAAATGTCTCACATTCTCCAGTTGTTATCAAGAGAA